GCACCTGTCACCAAATGTGCCTGCAAGGCCTTCGGTCCTGTCCCGCCCACTTGCGCCCCTGTGCCCGGGATGGACATCGGGTGGACTGGGGGACACGGAGCACAGGCTCGAGGAGAGCACAGGCCCTGCAGGTGGTGCCGGGGAGCTGGTCCACTCCTGCCCGGCCACCTCTAAAGGGAGGACAGAAGACAGGTGCCACCCAGGTGTCGCTGCTGTCGGTAGCCAGGCTGCCCGGAAGGCCATTCCGGGCGGGGTGGGGGATTCTCGCTGCTGCTCGGTGCCAGGCGCCAGGCGTCAGACAGGAACCGGGGGGCCTGGAGCTATTTCCTCCCCAGCCACGAGCCGGGCACTCACCTGGCAGTCCCGGAGGCCCAGGGCGGCCGGACTCCACAAATGCCTGCAGAGAGGGGCCCAGAGGTGGCCGCTGAGGGACACTGCTCTGGAGACAAAGGCCACCACCCATCCAGCAGGCCCCAGCCCAGAAGCCCCCGGCCCCCTGTGAGGCCACACTGGTGGATTTTCGGGGGACGGGGGTCTAGAGCCAGAAGCCCTCACTGGCCTCCACCTCGCCAAGCCTGGTGGTCCCGGGATGCCGTAGCACCTCCATGCTCAGATACCCCCTAGGCCTCCGCCCTCCTTGGGGGGCTCAGCCCACCAGACAGCCCAAAAGCAGCCTGGACACAGGCTGTGCCGTGGGGAGGAGGCGCAGCTTGTCCGTGGCTCAGGTAAGGAGCCGTGGGGGCCACAGGAACCGTGGGCGCCTTCGGGACTTACGTTGCTGTCGTAGACAGGGGTCCCAGGAGGGCCTGGGGGTCCCGGAGGCCCGGGGGGGCCGGGCATTCCCTGTGTGGGACAGAAAGCTGTGGTCAGTCAGGTTCACAGCCAGCCCCTCACCGTGACACGGCGGCAGGCGTGGGGAGGAGCATTTCTGTCCTGTGACCGCGGCAGGGAGAGGCCGCCTGAGCAGAGACTCACACCAGGGCAGACGCGCACGCGGGCACCAGATTACTCTGCCATCAGGTCCCCAGGGCAGGGACTGGCCCTTCCCACGTCCAGGAGGTCCCTGCCCGAGGCCCACGCCCTGCAGACTGCGGTGCGGTCAGCGAGATTCCCAGGTCAGAAAGCCTCCCCCGGAGCCACCCTGAGGGGCTGTAACTTGTGGGGGTCCAAGGAAAGAGCATGAACAATCCGGTTCAGGCCGTGTCAGAGCGCGTGCTCTGAGAGCCACACGCGACTCTCGGGAGGACGGACGGGTTGGAAGGTCAGGGCCGGGCGTGAGCGCGCTTCTCTTCCTGCCGTGCGAGTGTCTTTCCAGGGGCCTGGGCACCTCTCGCCGGCTGGCCGCGGCGGGGTGGGGGGCGGGGGGATCTGGGCCAACAGGAGGCCCCAGGGGAAGACCCGGCTGCAGGGGACGCTGCTGTCCCGAGGCGGGAGACGCCCTCGTCGCCAGGGAAACAGCCGTGTAACCACTTCTAAAGAGTCACAAGCGAGAACAGAATCCGAGCGCCTGTGCTTTCCGGCCGCGTGACCTGTGAGCATAGTCCCGTCCCAGAACCTGCAAACGCAGCGTGTTCTTCACCGTTCACAGGACGGCAGCCGCGCTTCAGTCCAGAGACAGGACCGCAGCCGAAGAGACGACAGCAACGGGAAGGTCAGACGTGCCAACCCCACTGTGTTCCCTGCGCGCAGCCCCTGCTGCGGCAGAGCCTGACGGCAGGGCCGCCGGGGGTTGCCGGGGAAGCGGGCGCACTGCCTGGGGCGAGCTGGGCGGATCTGGCGGCCCCTGCCCGGGGGCACCGCTGGGTCTTGGCGGCAGCCGTGTCAGGCAGACAGCGACTAGAAAGCCCCAGCCACCGACGCACGAAGTGAGACACCCAGCTCACGGACAGCAGCGTTAACCGAGTGACGGCGTGGTGCTGAGCCGAGCGCGCCGCGGCGGGGAGGGGCACACGCAGAGTCCACGCTGGCCTGGGCGCCCTTCCCAGAAACACGCACTGTCTGTTCCCAATGGGCTTGGGTAAGGTGCACGTGTACGTGTGCCTCTGTGTGTGTGCATAAGTGTGTATATCCGTGTATATGAGTGTGGATGATGTGCCTGTGTATGTGTGTGTGCATATGCATGGGTATACATACATGTGTGCACGATATATGAGGGTCCATGTGTACGCATGTGTGTATGTATCGGTGTGCATAAACGTGTTATGCAAGTATATGTGTGTGGACATGTGTGCACATGTAAGCGTGTAGGTGGGTACCCGTGTATGTAAGTATATGGGTGGACACGTGCATGTGTGTATATGTACGAGTGCACATGCGTGTAGGTGTATATTATGAATGTGCCCATGTACACGTGTGCACATGTGAGTGTGCGTGTCGTGCCAGAAGACCTGCATGGCGCGGCCACACTGGCTGCCACTGCCTGACAGACAAGCTGCAGGACCCCAGGCCCCGGCCAGGCCGTCCGGTCCCAGCGTCCAGCCCCCCGTGGGACGCTCACCCTCGTGCCGAATGCCACGCTGGCCTCTCCCGGCTCCCCTTTCTCTCCTTTCAGTCCGTTCATCCCGGGACGACCCTGGGCAGAGCACAGTGGGCGGGAACTGCTGGGTACGGCCACACCACGGCCTTCTCTGTGTCCCCGCAGGGCGGCCGCTGCAGCCTCGTGGTCACCCCCAACCAGGGCTGGCCTCCCGCACCCCTGCCCTGCAGCTCCCAGCTTGCCCGGCCCCCCTCGCCATGTGCCTGCTCCAGGCCCTCTGGGGAGGGTGGCTGACCCCAGCGGCACCCAGGGCCTCCTCCCAGGCCCGAGCCCCCCACAGGCGAGTCCCAGGACCCCCCCCCAGCCACCTCTGGGATGAGAGCAGGGCAGTTCTGGGGAAGGACAGGGGAGGGACAGCTGTCCACTGCCCTCTGGGCCCACTGCCCTGTGGGCCTGGGCTGCTGTCCACCTGCCGGGCCCCACCTGCTGCCCACGCAGGCACAGGGGCCCCCCAGAGCCCAGGTCCTCACCGGCCGTCCAGGAAAGCCAATCTCCCCCTTGTGCCCCGGCCGTCCGTAGGGGCCCTGCAGAAGGAAGGGTCTGGGCTTCAGGTGGGCGGGACCCAGAGCAGACCCTGCCCCCGCACCACGGGGCAGGAGCTGGTGCGGGGGAGGCGGCAACGCAGAGACCAGCCCCGCCTCCTGTCGGCTCAGAGCTGCCCCTGTGGCCTCCACCCCACCCCTGGCCCGTGTGTTTTAAGGATACGGTTGGGAGATAAACCCAGGGCCACACAGCACACACTCAGCAGCCACGCGGGTGACAAGTGTCCAGCACACGGCACGCCCGTGCTCCCTGCAGAGGGAGCCGGGTCCTACTCACCGGGGGTCCTCGGAAGCCCGGCTCTCCCTGGACAGAAAACCAGAAGGCACCGTGAGGAGGCTCGTCTCTTCCGTCCCGGCCCCTGCAACTCCCATAGCCCCCCGAGGGTCCCCTGCCCATCAGGTGCACCGGGGAGCACGAAGGGCCACGGGCGACAAGGGGGAGGATAGGAAATGCCAGTGGGAGAAGGTTCTGGGCTGGGGGTTGCATCTGGGTGGGTGCGCAGATGGGGCGTGTCCTGGGGCCCTGCTGCACGGGGAAGGTGGCCCTGCCCTGTCTGCGCAGTGCCCTGGCTGGGCACACCTCAGCCCACACTCAGCTGTGCGGCCGGGGCAGGGCCGGTGGCCCGCTCTCTGGGCCTGGCATCCGAGGCCCGTCCCCAGGCCTGGAGGGCTCGGGCTCCTCCTGCAGGCCTGTGGGAGCCCGGCCTGTACGCCCAGCAGATCAGGGAGCCCCTCCCCCTCCGCTTCCCAGGGCCTGCCTGGGTGGCCCCCCAGGCACAGGCCCCCCAGGGAACTGCCTCTGACCCCGCGGTGCTCAGGCGCCGAGGCCGGTGCTCAGGCGCCGAGGCCGGCTGTCCCCAGGAGGAGGCAGAGGGCAGGGAAGCCCCCCCCATGGACGCAGACGCCGAGCTGGGTGCGGCCTGGGGCTCCCCGTCTCCCGCAGGGAGGCCAGGCTGGAGGAGCGAGGACAGAGCTGTGGCCCCCAGCGGCCCCAGCCTCCCTGCAGGAGAGCGGCGCTGGGGGCTATGAGGGTGGACAAAGGAAGGCCGTCGAGGGCCGGGCCACGATGTCCCGGCGCCCGGCTCAGGGGACGCGTGAGACCCCGGCCCCGCGCCGGCCCTCACCTTCGCTCCTTTCGGGGCAGGGGCCGCGGCTCTGCCGTCGGGGCTGAAGATGCTGCCGGGCTCTCCCTTGTCACCCTGGAACGGCAGGAAGCCGGCAGGGTCAGGGCGGCTCTGGGCGAAGACCAGCCTCGCGGCAGCACGGCTGCCTCACGGGAGCCCCCAGAACACGCGAAGGCAGGGCGGTGTGGGTGCCCCTCGGGGACAACCTGGGCTGGAGTCTGTCACTCGCCCACTAAGGCGACAACTCCAGTCGGCCCGGGGGCTCCGATCCCGGCCCAGTGCCCAGACCGAGCAACAGTGCCAGCCTCACCTTGGGTCCCGGGAAGCCTCGCTCACCCTTGGAGCCCAGGTCACCCTTGGGCCCGGCGGGTCCCTGGAACAGAGCAGGCAGGGGTGAGGGGCTGCGCGGCCCAGCGCCTCCCCGTTCCAGAGGACCGCCCAACCCCCTCCGCGCTGTTTCCGGGAGATGCGCTGCCCCGCTCGGTCTTCCGGGTCACATGCAGGGGGCCACACCCCGCCCAGAACCCGCTCTGAGCACCGCGGCTTCTCCCGGGCACAGGAAGGCTCTCGGGCCCCCGGGGGCCCGCCGGGCGCTGGCTGGCCAGGGCTCTCAGTACCCTGCTCACGTGGTCCAGGACAGCGGCGGTCCCCACCCCGGCTGAGCCAGGCCTGCCCCAGCTCGGCAGGGCAGCCTGTGGGACAAACAGGACGGGGTGACGGCCTGGAGGGGGCTACTTACGGGAAAGCCTGCGTACCCCGGCCTGCCCTGTGGGAAGAGGGGCGGCGTCAGCTTGGGGTCACGGCCACTCAGAAACAGCAGGGTTCTGAGCAAGCCGCCGCCCGACCCACACCCAGACCCGCCCAGGGCCCCGCAGGCGAGTTTCTCAGCCGCGAGGGGCACGCACCTCGGGCCCTGGCGCACTCAGCACGGCTCCCTGTCGGCAGAAAGAGAGATCAGAACACGGCAGAGACGTCCCTGAAAGCTAGACTCAGCCGCGTTATGTTACTGTCACGAGATCAATAGGACAATACCAGGAACCGAGATTTAAAAGGCAGATCTTTCTTGCAACCGTCTTTCTGGTTCTGCCTGAAGGCCCCTCAGGTAACCCCGAAGCCACGTCCTGGGGACCGCTGCGCCCAAGCAGACTCCCCTGGGCTCAGAGCTCCCCTAGCCAGACTTCCGGCTCCCCAGGGCCACGAGCTTTACGCCCGTTTTTGTGTGAAATACTGACTCTGCGGGCACGTCCTTGCTCACCACG